CCAATACTGGTGCCGTTAAAAATAACGTATAGTCGGTATTACAGCCTGTGTTCCTGAAGGGAAGGGGGGTCTTGTCACTGTTTTGGGGTCTTTGTTTTACTGTCTGTGAAACGGGTTTGCAGAAGGGCGCTGGGAGGGTGTGGGCAGACCTGATGTGCCTGGGGGTGTCATAAATGGTGCGTTTTGAAGGATGGGAGCCCTCCGTCCTCTGTCAGCGCAGAGGGGCTGCGGGGTGGTGGCAGGTCACTTTGTGTGTTGGTTTCCTGGGGAAAAGATCCCCCAGATCATTGATGCCTGGCCCTGGCTCTGCTGCCAATGGTCCTCAGTGCTGCAGGAGACAGACAGCATCCCTCCTCCACCCTTCGCTTCCACGGGTCTGCTGGGAATTTCAGAGTCCTGAGTTGATTTTATCCGTTGGGACCGTGGTTGGATGTAGGCTCGTGTATCAGGGACGTGTGTCCGCCTGGCCGTGGGGCTGGGGCACTGCTGCCCAAGCCACAGTCGTCTTCCAGCTGCCCCATGAGGGTGGGCTGGAGCGCGTGAGTCGGCACCCTCAGTCCCCACGGATTGCCAGCATTGACACCGGAATCACCGCCTGCTCCGAACGCTGGGAACTGAAAAATCAGAGGCAGAAAGCGTGGCTTGAGGAGCTGATATTTTGTTTTGTTTTGTTTTATTCCAAGATCATGATTTTGGGGGCAGCTTTGTGCATTTTTTGGATGCAGACTCAGATGTTTTGCACCCTTTGAGCCCAGCAATGTCAAACATTCAAGCTGGAGAGAGAAGAACAAAACATGTCACTTGTATCTGCTGTGACCTGCCTGCCAGTGCGGAGCTAGCGGACAGGCCTGCGAGCAAGGGCTGAGATGCATTTTGCATCCAAATGCAGCCTGGTTTTACCAAGGGAAGAAAAACATGTTTCCAGGGTCCTCATCCCCACTCATCTCAGAGAAGAGAACTAACCCTTTTGTCTGCCCCCTCCCCGGCACAGCCCAGCCCCTCTCCCCACCGCTTCAAGCCTTTGTTTAGGACTGAGCAAGAGTATTGCTCATTGCCACGTGCCCGCAGCAAATTCCAGCTGCGAAACACTTGGGAAACGGGATTTTTTTCCAAAAATACAGCCTCAAGGCAATGTATGCCCGTGATTCCCAGTCCGTTGCGCCCTCCAGGCTCTGTGGCCCAAATGTTCCCGAGGAGCGTTCAAGGTCAGTCAAGGCTTTTTAATTGTGGGGTGACGAGGGCCGGTGCGTGTGTTGGCCCGTGCCCAGCTTTGCAGCTCACCCGCTCGCCCCGTCCGCGCCACTTGCCCGCCGCGCGATGCTCCGATGCAGGCAGGTTTGCCTACCTCCGTGGGTGTTGTGGGGCGTAATGAATGTTTCCAGCGTGCTTTGAAGACGGAAAATGCTCCAAGTGTTAAGTATTAGTGTGATTTCGGTGTGCGGAGTGGTTAGGGCTTGCTCACGCCATCTTTCCTGCAGCGCCCGAGCGCCGCTCGGGTTGGCTTTTGCAGAGCCGGCTCTCGCTGTTGGAAGGAGCCAAAGGGGTCCCAAACGGGACATTTTGGAAAATGGGACATGGGACAAAATGTACCTCCTCTGGAAGGACCCAAGACGGGACCTTTCTGCAGGTACTGTAATGCTACAAGCGGCTCTGCGGGCACTTGCATTTCACCTCGCGTTCACGCCGCTTTCATTAAACCAGATAAGCTACCCTAAAAAAGCCACTACGGTCAAAATAAGGTCTTGTTCCCTGTATTCTGTCGCGTTAAAAAACCCCATATATTGGCTGGATGTCACATTTTTTAAGCTGTACCAGTAGAACTTTTCCCACGCTGCCTCTCCATTTAGCAGCTGACAAGCCAGACCTCGAATCATGATCTTTATCCCGAGACAAGCTGAAAAACAAAATGTTTCTGAAACGCTGAAGGTAGGTGAACATTTTCAGTGTCACATATTAAGGTGGTGTCTAACGAGCTCCATGTCCCACTTATAATTGAAACAGAAGAGAGTATTCACTTTTCATTCATTTTTAAAAGACTATTCAAATACCCTTTCATCTCCGCTAAACAGGCTGCCATGGATTTGAAGCCATTTTATATTTTGTTTCTACAGACATCCAAAAAACAGAGGTGAGTATTTTGGAACATTGATAGAAAGATGCAAAGGCTTGTGAGGCACTGAATGGCTTCAAGCCGCCTCAAACACATTCATCTTCCCTAGAAGAATTAGGCACAGTGTGATTCATTTTAATAGCAGAAGAAAAATAATACTACGATGTAGTGCTAAGTTCCCAACCTTTGATGGTAGACTGAAAAAAGAGAGAGAAGAGGGAAAAAAAAATTCTTTCTTCCCTTATGTTGTTGAAGTCTCCCTACACCCATCCGTTATGTCCAGCTTATCAATTAAGATGAACCCCATGAACTTCAGATGGTTTTTTTTTTTAAAACAAGGCACCAACCATTTAAATGTGTAAAACTGCCTGCAGCTCCCTTGAACTGCAGGATTCAGTCCTGAGCTCCTGTGTACTCGGTGTGAAGTTGAGCCCTTTGATAGAAGTTTTACTGATGTTTTAAATGAAGTCTGCTCATACACACAAAATAACCCAGATAATTTAAAACCTCATAGAAAAAATAGGGTGGAGAGAGGCAAAAGAAAAGCTGGTCGGTGCCATTGGTCTAGCAGAAGAAAAGAGGCTGGCTTTGGTTACCAACAGGACAGACCAAACGCGGCCCCACAATTGCTTTCCCAGCGTCACTTGCTGGAGCCGGGGAAGGTCTGGGAGACAGCTGGGAGACAAATCCATCCTGGTATGGGCAGCTTCCCTCAGGAACACATTAAGCTCGTTCAGCTATAAAATAGGTTTCGTACCATAAATACCGGCGCGAGGGAAGGCGCACGGGTAGGGCTCCCCGGCTTTGTCCCACTCAGCGCTTCCATCCCGTCTCTCCCCAGCTCACGGCTGCAGCAGTGGGACCTCACAAAGCCCGGCTCGGCTCAGCAGGCGATACAGGTGAGCAATCCCAGCGCCAGCCATCGCGACGCGGCCTGGCAGGAGGGCTCCGACAGCGGGACACCGCGGCCCTTCGGACATCCCCCCGGCTCCCTGAGCAAGAGGTCTCTGCCAGCCCGCCCCGCCCCAGCAGGTAGGCTTGGCAGTGCCGTCTGGGCTATGCTGGTTGTAGCTGGGGTACCTGAAGGAGCTGAAAATAATTTAATCATTGCACTGAAGTACAGCCCAGTCTTTGCCTCGGCTGCTGGAGCTCCAACCGCTTCCCAGCAGGAACAGCTCCTGCCAAGGCTCGGCCAATATTGCCAACTACCACCATACGTGAGAAGAAACCTTTTAAGGTATTAAGGGTGAGGGAAAAAACCCCCAAAAAAGGCCAGACAATATTAATTTGAAAAATATAAAATTTTAATAAAGGCTACATCTCTTAATTACAATAATTATTGTACCAAGTAATTTTTTTTAAATGAAACTCTTTATAATGCATAATTTACAGTATAAGTAGAACAAAATGCCATGGCAAAAGTCATGAGTACAGGACTTGTAATAAAAGGCATAAAATATATTTATACATAAACCCCTTAAACAAAGAAGGGAAAGCTTGAACCCTGAATATAGGGCGACGCATGGTCTCGTAGCACCATGCAGGCACAGGTACTGTACTGATTAAAAACACTAGAGATAGTGTATTAATATTTTCATCATACATTTTCTACAATATATACAGACTTACTTACACAAAGTAGCAATGGCAAACAGAATGCACAGATTAACTTAACACAAAACCCAACTGTCGAAATACAAGGTCTTCCTCGGGAAAGGGTCGCTCCATCCCAACACCCACGCGGCTCTGCCAAGGGCTGCAGGTAGCCTTCGCCCACATCTCCCACGGGCTCACGTGGGTGTTGTGAAGGTAAGGCCAAGAGAAAAAAACAAAACCCCCAAACCAAAACACACCACAACCCAACCAAAACCACCACCACACAACGAATCGCGCGCTCCACACCGATCCGACAACGCTGAAACGCAAGTTGTGCTAACGCTGAACGGCACGAGCTAGCTCTGCGGAACACACACGGGTTTTCTAACCTGGCTTCTGCCTCGTGTCCTTTCAGGGTGCCACGGATGGAAACGGGAACCGGATGGCTCCTACAGCTCTCCCCGGCTCAGCGTTCTGCTCTGCCGCGGCTCGACCGGGAGGCACTGCCCACCACAGGGCACCCTCACGCCACAGAAATCCATGGACAAAGTAACCAGTAGCTGTTGTTCTCCTGCATCTAACGGATTTAACGCTTCAGACCTTTACTTCGAATTAGAGCAGCATAGATTAAAATGCACCGGCCTCTAGATGAATGGTAGGACAGTATTTTTATTTCGCCTTTTATTATTATTATTTCTTTAGAAAAGTTTTATCTTCACTCGGAGAAATACTGGGCACAACCTCACTCCTTCCCTCCTCCCCCTCCAGAAAAAAAACCAAGTCATGAATGCGCTCACAGCCAAACTCCTAAATTTTAGATAGTGGGAACAGTATAAAAAAATAAAATAATCCTTCCTCCCATCACCCCACTTCCCAGCCCCTCTCTTCTCCATTGTTAAAGCAGCATATCCAAAAACTGGACTTAAGGGAAAACAGACTGTTCAATAAATATCAATAAGGATTACTGTTAAGGTAAGCTATACACAGTTTCTCTTAGTCCATAGATTTCAAATCCCCAGGAAATCATATATTATGTATGGAAGTCTCTCAAACATGGTCTGCATCTCCAATAGCCAACAGTGGTCATGTTTTTAATAAATAGTTCAGGGTTTTTATCATCTCAGTACCCAACTCATGAATAATAAATGCCATTTTTTTCCTCTAAGGCTAATTCAGCAAAGTCTTCATAGACTTCACTTTTTTTTCTTCATTGGTTCAAAACTTTCCTTCAGAGTGTGGTTTTATTTTTTCCTTTCCTTGTCATCACTACTGTTGTGTCCAAAGACTTCTCTAGCTTAACTTTCCTTAAGAAACACAGATGCCATCAATCGATCCTTTCTACTTTCCCAAGAATCCTTCCTTCGTACATCGGCAGGATGGTTTCATCTTCCCAAACCTCTTCAAACACCGCGCCGCAGTCGAACTCGTCGCTCGCTTTTTTGAAGTAGTATCTGTGGTCAGGAGAATTAAAACTCAGTTAAAAATCGAAAGGTACAGCACAGGATGCTTTGGCAGTTCTTTTAACCACAACATTTCCAATCCTCTTCCCTCCTAGGATGCTCCTGCGGCACCCGGCGTGGCCAGGAAAACCCTGGGGCTGCAGGGATGGCGACGGGACGGAGGGAGCAGGGCTGTGCGCGCTCCTCGGCGGCGACAACAGCTTCGGCAGTGAGTAAATTACACGTACTGGCAGAGGATACCCTCAGCCAGGAAGAAAATTAGAAAGTGCAGAGATTTCTGGTCAAGTATCTTATTTAAAAAATAAATAAATAGAATTTCAAAGCAAAGCATTCTTAAGGTTCCCCTCTCTCCCCACCTTCTTTCTTTCATGTGTTTTCTTGTTTCAAAGCTGAATCCCAACATTAAAATTAGCAACAGTTATTAAAAGGAGAGGCTTTTTAGGCATAGGGATGCATTAAAAGACAACCACCCCAGCTTCCTGCAGCGCAGAAGCCGAAACGCTGCCGTACTCCTACTGAAAAAGCCACCGGGCGCCTGGCAGCCCAGCGCCTGAGCTCACGTCTCCATCTGCAGCCAGGGACACCCCGGAATTCGCTCCCCGGGAGCGGAGCAGCCCCGGTCCGGCCTGCGGGACCTGACGCCGGGAGGTCAAGCAGCAGTGTCCTGCCTTCCTGCTCTTTCGCTCTGGTCGCTAGATCGCGAAGCCAACGCTCCCGGAGACAAAAAGCACCCCCACCCCTCCTGTGTCAAACAGTAAGGACCCCGCTATTATCCTGAATTAGACCGTTCAGCTTCCTGATTAAAGGTTCCTTTTATCCCGTTTGGAGCTTTCTTCCTCCTAAGGCTGCTTAATTGCATATGCACAAATGAAGGGCTTCCATTCCGAGGGGTAGCATTTAGGGAGCCTGTCCGTCTGCCGCCACACACCTCCTCGGACATGCCTGCTCCCTCGGAAAAGGGCTTTGCCATCTGATCGCCAGGGATGGAAAAACCTTCATCAGATGGATGACAAAGAAAAATATATATAAAAAATAAAAATTAACCCCTCCCCTGGAGCTTCCAGACAACTGGGGTTGGCAGATGTTTGCTAGGGGAAAGGGTTTTGCAATTATTACTATTTTAGGATGGGAAAGGAGATCAAATTAAGCTCGTTTTTACTATGAAAGCTGAAAGAGCCACAGCAGGGTCTTAGATTTGATTTTTTTTTCCCCTGGTGTCTGTTCTAGTATACATTTTTAAAACACTTCGTAACAACGGCCTGCAAATCTATTTATTTTTTAGGGTACGTTACATAGTGATTTTGGAAGGGGGATAAATGCCGGCTTTGAGTCAACGAGATGAAACCAGCTCCACTGAGTCAAGGTATGGTCAGGATTTATTTTTGTAACGTCATTCCAAGCTGAGTTGACACACGTTGCGTCTTTAATGCCTCAGCAAGGAAAAACTTCTTATTTAAGTCCTTCGGAGCCTGCACTCATGGAAATCAGTGGCCAAACTCCCACTGACTTCCATGCTGCAGGGCAAGGCCACAATTCCCCAGGCCAGCAGCCTTGAAACAACCCCAAAAAAAGCCCAAGGAAAGTCTGAATGAATTACAAAGGACTTTCTCTTCCCTTTCCCCTTCTCCGCCCCTCTCCAGATAACAGCGGCTCTTCCCAGTAACTTCCTCCACAAGCCCCAGCGCTGGCTGTGTTTACAAAATTTTTATTTGAGAAAACACGCTGTGACCTTTTACATAATTACAACCTTATTTCACAGAGAAAAAAGGAAGGGGGGGAAGAAAAAAAGGAGGCAAAGCAAAAAAAAAAAAATCCTCCCCCACAACATCTTCAAACAAGTCACTCTGCTCTTATTTGCTCAGAAATGGGCTTTCCATTGAAACATATTTTATGTGGCAAGCTTTGCTCTTTTTTTTTTAAATTTTATTTTATTTTTTGGGACATCTGGCACCAATCGAGGCGAGCAGGCCTGGCCTTACAGCTCTGTTTTGAACCGCTGCCATCTTCAGATTACCCGACACCACCCAGTTTTTCTGTGCGTGTATGTTTGTTTTTTGTTAACGCCATCAGTATTAAATCACTGCTTAATTCCTTCTTTTTTTCTCGGGGGTGGGGGAAGGAAAGCAAAGCGGTGATTGCCCAGCGGCTGCCCCACGGCGGGGCCGGCCGTGCGGCTCTGGCATCACGGGAGCCCGAGGTACCCGCCTCGCAAACTGATCCAATCAATAAAGAATTTGGAGAGCAGAGCATTTCTGCATGTCTTTGTGCATTAAATGAAAGGCAACGGCTTCAAAGACATGCTTATTAAATGTGCCTTAAAAAGAAATCAATGCCAGATGTGACCAAAGCAGCCTAGTTAGTGCCTCCCCGTAACACACACGCTACTCCGGGCACTGCGGACCTCTTCCCTGAAGGTCACCCGCAGTTTCACTCAAAGTCCAGCCAAAAGTCAAAGCTTAGATCAAAATGATTCCCTGGAGGTACACACATTTGTGTAATTAGTTTCACCTTGTGTCTGTGCAAGATAAAATACTGGGCACGTACCCAAGTTCCTTTTATAAATTTCTGTATTGTCTTTACCCAGGTGTAAAGGGGTGAGATCTAAGGAAAACCTTGTTTCATCCTTGTCAGTCACTTAAAAACATTTTCTAAAGTAATTACAGTCTGACAAGGCACAAATAATTGCACCTGGAGGGGCTTTTGGGCCACAGAGGTTTTAGGAGCCTATTTCTGCACCCGGGCATCACACAAAAAATGTCACAGAAAACAAACAAACAAAAAAGGGTATTTTTTGGAGGGGTGGGTGGGACTACACAGCCAGCAGAAGAGCAGCGCAGCAGGGGTGAGGCTGCTGGGGCATGAGGCCGCATCAGCCGGAGTAGGAGCACGGCCGCCTGGAGAGGCTTTAGGGGCTGGGCAATGGCACAAGGGTGCAAGAAACCCAAAAACCTCTCCTGGAGGTTGTCCAGGTTGGGTGTACTTGCAGGTTGCTGCCATCTGATGGCAGCTGGGCGGGCTGCAAAGATGATTTTGGGGAGACTGGCATTATTTCAGCTCCACTGGGCAATTTTCCCCAGCCTGAGAGCAGCCTTGGGTGACCTCCTGCTGAGCTGCGCCTTCCAGAGTTAGAGACGGGGCAGTGCTGGAGCACCCGCTCCACAGTTCTCGCCCCCCACCCAAACGAGGTTGAATCGGAGGGTGCCAGTACAGGGCAGGCCTCCTGGCTCTTTGAAGCAGCTCCAAATTCATTGCAAATTCAAAAAACTTAAAGCTGGACCCTCCCACTCCCAAGCAGAAGTGGCTAACAGATGATCCCACTAGTGTCCAGATCCGCTGGGAAAATACAGCAAAAACAGGCAGTGGGAAGCTACTGCCATGGGAACTAGCAGAGCAGGGGAAGCAGCAAACTGGTTAAGCTGGGAGCTGGAAACCAGACAGGCAGGGTTTGTTGGTGTTTGAGGAAGCACTCCGTATCTCTGGTGCAGCTTTCCCTGCAGGGCAGAGGTTTTTCCCTAAGGAAAAGCAATCTCACTGTATCTCAGCTACACGTCCACTCACAGGCAACAACCGACCTCCCGCTGACCGCATTTACAGCCACACCATGGCAAAAAAACCCCAAAATTCAGGGCCAAAAATTAAATAAGTAGGCAAAGCAGGAGGCCAGCATCCAGATGATGGCTGACCCAGGTTTGGAAACTGAACCCCGCTGCTCCATGCCTTTGCTGCAAAGCCACGCCAGCTTTTCCTGGCAGTCCGGCTTCTTGGGCAAGGGTCGGAGCACAAAGCCTGCACCCTCCTGCAACTGGGAGAGGGGGCTGAGGGGAGAGATGGAGAGGAGGTGACCCCTCAGCCAAGCTGTAGCTCAGGGCCCCTTTCTCCATCTCCAAGTCACTCTTGGTTTGAGCGGGATGAGAGTAAGACCTACAGCCTCGGAAAGGCGAGGCAGGTGTGTCACAGCGGGTCGGACCTGCAAAGCATCTGCTGATTCTTGTGACTTCTTACAATAGACTAAAGAGCAAACAAATCACAGATTCTTACCTGTAATTTCCCTTTTTGCTCAGCTGCTCTTTAAAGTGCCCAAGTGTCAGGCTCTGGGCCTTTAACATCCTCCTGTAGGGAATTTCTTCTCCGCAAAAAAAATAGGTGACAACCAACTCACTCGACTGAGAGGTGTGAACAACTGGCAGTTTCTTTGGCTCTTTGTGGCTGAAAAACAGAAAACACACACAAAACCCTCTGTATTTCCATTTGAGAACAAGCTGTTTCGCCACCCTCAATCCCGCAGTGCTCCTGCCACACGTAACACTAGTCAGAAATACCCTGGGCGCGACCCAAAAAGTCAGATATTCCTGTACGCGCCGCGCGTGTTGTGCTGCGTCTGCAGGGCCCTTTGCTGGGCTCCCCAACGGCTCCCGCCCGCTGCGACGCTGGGAGCCTCAGCATCGCCAAGCGCCCAGCCGCCGGCCATGAGCCGCGTCCCTCAGCGGGCTCCTTGGGACCTCGTCCCGTTTCATGGATGGGAGGATGAGGGATGGAGGTTAGACGTTTGCTGGAAGCATCAGAGCGGGGCCACAGGCCAGATGAGCCTGTGCAGGACGCGCCATGGGCTGAGCTCTACCCAGTGAGCCCCAGCACTGTACACATCCGATTTTAAAAGGCCCTTTTCGTCTGCTTTCATGCAAAACATCTGCCAAGCTTCCCTCTCCTGCAACCACCAACAGCTAACAGAGCAAAACCACCCCCGGATTCTTCACCTGAGGTACACAGGTAATCTCATTTTTCCCCAGAGAAGATAAAATTAACTGGATCTTGCCATTTGCACAAAGAAATCCTTCTTAAAGAATAATTAAAACAATATTACCCAGCAGAATGGCAATGCTCTGGTGAATGCCATGCAGCCAAATCTACAACTGCTTCTGAGGCAATGTACACTTGGCATGTCAAAAGGTCACAAAGTGTTAGTCCGCAGTAATTTAGTCTTCCTAATTTGTTCTAAGTCTTTGTAGAGTGGCTTCAGAAAAAAAGCTGCTAGCAAAGACAGCTGGTGGACTTAAGGTCAACCAATTAAAAATGAAAGGCTCTAGTCAGGTGGCTCAGTCTGGACTTCAAACATTACTCATTGCTTAAGATGAAGAGGGTAAGAAAGAAAACTTTAATTATTTAGGCCATTTTAGACCTCTCTGTAGCAGATTTCTTGTTAAAAGAACCATCCTGTAATTAGACTAATCCAATCTTTGTCCACTTTACAGGAATGCAAGTTAAAAAGAGCCAGAAACAAGATTTGAAAATGTTTTGTTCTTCCTTTAAGAAGAATGTTTGAAAGACAAAATTTCAGATATAAGAATTTCCTCTCTCTTCAAAGCACAATCCATTTAATGAAAATATAACGACGATACACGCATCTTCCCCAGTCCTTCTACGCGCGTGCAACACTCACTCTTCTGTCGTCAGGCTTGCATTGCAGAAAGGGGTGTTTCCCCCCGGAACGGCAGCGGAGTGGCTTCGATCCCTCTGCTGATTTGAGGTTGAACATCTGAAGTGGAGAGGGGGAGGGCAAGGGGGGAAGAAGGGGAAAAAAAAAAAAAATTGTTGAAATACAATCTTCTTAATTGAAGTCTCCTGTGGGTCGTTAAGTTTGCTCTTTGTATCAACCCTCACATGTTGTAAACAATCAAAGGAAGAATTAAAAATGCTGTGGGCTAATTTATCCCTCCATACCCAAATGAACGATAACCGGTCCAATTCTCCCCTTGGTATGTAGCTGGAGTCTGTCCCAGAGGAAAAATGGGCAAATTACAGCCATCAAAAGAGTGGAAGTAATAGCCTAGGATTCAAACTATCTGTGCCCGGGTCGGGTGGGGTTGGAATAAGGAGGCTCATCCTTGGGGCTGGGCCAAGCCATGCCATCACGCGTCCCCACGGTCCGGCCCCATGGCTGACCCTCTACCTGGATGGGGAGGACGCCGTCCACGTTCGCCCGCCCTCAGCCC